AGGGGGCCGGCTGCCCCTGCCCTCTGATGGAGCCACGTGGAGCCTGGCTGCTGAGGCACTCAGCAGGGGCCTCGCACACTGCAGGCTCCGTGCAGCCCTTTTGCCACACAGGGAAGTGCTCTGCACTCGATGGCTGGAAGGCAGTGGCAGAGCTAGGTAAGGGGGGCAGAACAGGCATGGGGGTTCTGGAGGTGGGGGCTCTAAAAGGTGCTGCCCCTGCCCTCTGATGGAGCCACGTGGAGCCTGGCTGCTGAGGCACTCAGCAGGGGCCTCGCACACTGCAGGCTCCGTGCAGCCCTTTTGCCACACAGGGAAGTGCTCTGCACTCGATGGCTGGAAGGCAGTGGCAGAGCTAGGTAAGGGGGGCAGAACAGGCATGGGGGTTCTGGAGGTGGGGGCTCTAAAAGGTGTGTGAGGCTGACACTGAGGGGCACGGTAACATCCAGGATAGGGAGCTGGCAGTTGGTGGCACTGGGGACAGGGCTAATATTGGGGACTTGAGGGATTGGGTGCAATAGGGCTCTGTAAATAGGAGGCTGGCACTGAAGTGTTTAGAGTAGGGGGGCTGACACTAGGGAACTCTGAGGACAAGAAGATGGCACGGGAGGGTTGGGTTCAGGGGACTTTGTGTCCACTGGCTGGTGCTGAGGGGGGTAATGGAGGGGTGACGGACTCTAGGGACTAGGGCTAGCACTGTGGGCTGGGGCTTTTTATACCACTGACTGGCAAGCCCATCTCAAACTTTGGACAGACAGGTAACATTTTATTTGAATACTTGTTTACATAATGAATATGCAAATACAATGTTATCAGTCTGCCAAAAGTTTGTGAAGGGATTTGCCGGTCAATGAGATGATAAACATTGGGAACCACTACAATAAAAGATATTGTCTTTCCCACCTTCTGTCTCGAATAGTTTGGGGGTGTGGGCAAATGTGGCTATGCCAACAAACTTCTCAAAAGCAGTTTCCTGCGTTGTATGTGTGGGAATCTACCGTGAACCTAGGAGACAAGGTAACTTCCAAAGCTGCTAGCTAGAATACTTCTCACAAGATTTCATTCATTTGTTAGAGAAGCATTTTAGTACCAGTGTTCCTCAGTAATCTTGTTTGGTTAATCATTGGTATTCTCCCAGTCAAAGTGAGCTATAAGAAGGTGGTGTGAGGGGGAATCCTATAGAATGGAAGCTGGTAAAAGAGCATTGTTATAAATTACTAATTCTGGAACTAGATACATATACTATATATAGTCTTGCACAGGGGTTGACAACTTTCAGAAGTGGCTGCCAAGATTTAACTTACTCATTTCTATTTACGGATTTCAGTGACGGGCGGAGGAGGCGGAAGGGGCAGGGTGGGTATGGTGACAATATTTTCTGAACCAGCTGCAGCTAGGGAGAACGGTTTAATTTAAATTATTAAATAGACTAAGCATTTTAAATTCCTCATGTTTATCAAATTTCATTTTAAATAAAGTAAAATATTAATTTAAGCCCAAAACAAAAGGTTTCAGTGTTTTTCTTTATTTATGGCAGGGTGGGGAACCATTTTTGGGTGAAGGTCCACTGACCCACAGAAAAATCTTTTGGAGACCTCACAAGTGAGAAGCAAAAAAACTTCTCCAAAAACCCCGAACCCTCACTGATGCGGTCCCCAACTGACACACTTCACTCCTCTGATGCTCCAGCCTCCTGTGGTGAGGGGAAGGAACAGTGAGAACTGAGATTCAGGGTTTCCTATAGGCCAGGTTTACTTTTTTGAGATACCGGAGTTAGTGGATTTTTTGGGTTTACTTTTCTGAGATACCGGAGTTAGTGGATTTTTTGGAACCCCTTAGTCTCTGGTGTAGGGACAAAAATAAGAGATTCAGTGTGAGACAGGGCTGCCAGCGAATGGAATAGGCATGGGGTACATGATCTGTGAGGGAGGTGGGTCATAGAAAGGGGAGAGGTTACAAGGTCTGGGTGGGAGTAGGGTGTCTGGCCAGCTGGAGGGTGCAGGAACAACAGAAGGAGTTGGAGCAAGCTGAGGGTGCAGCATCTTGGCCGGGGGACAGGAGTGAGTGCTCCCATTCTTATTGCAGAACATGTCTTGGTAAACTCAAGTGGAATAGCAGTTATTTACTTCAACATGCTTACTATACACCAGTGATAGGCAGCCAAGATGAGTGGGCCACATGAGTGGCACTCCTTTGTCTCAGTGGTCTGCAGGTGGGCAACTTGTGGCCTATGGCCACTCTTGTCTGCCCCCCGCCTCTCACACTCTTGGACATTGGAGCCCCACGCTTACTACTTCTCCCCAGCACTTTTACAATGACTGGTTTGTGCTCCATTCCCCACTCTTCCTTTGCCCTCCCAGAGCTTGAATGCTGTGAATCAGCGGGCTGCAGGTGAAATCTTGGTGAGCTGAATGTGGGCTGTAGTTTGCCCACCAATAAGTCAAACCTAAACAATAAGAAAAGGAAAATACAGGTTGAACTTCTAAAATCCAGCAACATCTTTGGTCCCACAGGACCACAGATTTTGATGGACCGAGCCCCAGCGGTTAGGAGTCTCAATGGCTGAGACACTCAGCTAAGCCATTTGTAGCAGGGCCATCTGGGGCTCCGACAGTGGGTAGGGTACCCTGGCTGGACAGGCTGCAGCAAGGCTGGTGGTGGGTGGCAAGCTGCAGCTAGTAGGAGGGGGAGGGAGCCTTGCTGGACCTGACCAGAGCCCAGTGGCTGGGGCTGGCAGTGGGGAGTGGGCTAACGACTGGAAGGGAGTCCAGAGGCTGGTGGCCAGCAGGGGAGCATTGACCTATCCTAATTTGGCAAACTCCCTGGTTCAGGACCTTTCAGGTTCCAAGGGTGCTGGACCAGCTGGTCAAATCTGAATTACTGCAGAAGTGCAAAATCTTGCCTGGTACTTGAACAGACATAGAATCTGCAATAACTTTTAACTCTTCTTTTTAATTATTATTTTGAATTAGGGATTTTATCACTAAGCATACCTACAAGCATGGGGTTTACTTGTATGCGTATCGCTTAATCAGCTCTTGCCACTTAATTCTGGTGACAGCCAGACTGGAGCTGGATGGAGGGTGGGACCCTGCAGTTACTGGGTGTGGGGGAAGAGAGACTCTGGGACTTAGGCTAAAATAGTTAACTGATTACATGTTATCATCTAACTGGTTAACTGTTTTAATGTCCCTATTTTTAACTGTTTTTTTTAAATAGGAATTTTTTCCTTTCCTCCAGCCTTCTTTTTTTCCCTTGACATCCAAAAAACAGAGGTCAGTAAATACGCTATGCTCTATTACTTGTAACACAACACTTAAGTGAATTTAGTAATATGCATTAAAGTAGGTTTTTATTTTAAGATTTGTAGTATTAAGCATTATATAAAGAAACACATTATTAGTCTGTATTTTTATGTTTTAGGGTGATCAAGTTCTGATCCAAAATTGTCAAAAAATGGCATCAAGGAAGGAACTGACTAGTGACCAACGATTTAGCCATGTTACAAAGGACCCTAGATTTTGGGAAATGCCAGAAAAAGACCGCAAAATCAAGATTGATAAAAGATTTCGGGCTATGTTTCATGACAAGAAGTTTAAGTTGAAATATACTATTGATAAAAGAGGCCGTCCTATTAACCACAGCTCTACTGAGGATCTGAAACGCTTTTATGAGCTTTCAGATTCAGACTCTGATCTTTCAGGAGTTGACACTGAAGTGTTTGCTGGAAAGAAAATGAAGAAGAAGAAGAAGAAAAAGTCAAAATGTAAAGGAGTAGCAGCCTCTGGGAAACTGTGTGTAAAACCTACTGAAGGAGAAAGCAAAATAGTTCATGAGGAAATGGGTCACAAATGTGGAGCTCCATCAAAATCTGATGACTCTGAAAATGGACAGAAAAGTTTCACTATGATTACCAGCTTGTGTAGCTCAAAGTTGAAAAAAGACTGTAAGAATATTAATGTAGAAATTGGTCCTACACCGAATGATAAAGAACTTGTATGGAAAGGGGAAAACCAACAAACTGTGGTGAGGTCAGATTTATCTCCAAGCAAACAGGAGACTTCAAAAGCAAGTAGTATGAAATCAGTCAGGAGTCCCGGAACAACGTTTTCTTTGGAGGAAAGGAAAACTGAATCAGGTTTGTTAAATTTAAGGACGTGCTTTTTTTAAATGTGTGTCTTTTGCAAGATCAGAGTGTATGAGGTATACCTTTTCTTGGATCAACTTGCAAGATCAGTCATTTGAAAAACTAATCTAGCCTTTTCTGCTTTTAAATAGCTTCTGTATGTTCATCTTATTGGGAGAGATGAATTTTTAAACAAGTACAATAGTAAAGCTGTTTTGCATTTGTTAGGACAGTTTGGAAGAATAAAATGGTGAAGACATGTTTCAGTGTATTTTCCAAATGAATTAGGAAGAAACTTATGGCTTGATACTGCAAACAAAAATTACTTAAGCATGTGAGCAACTTTAGTTAACCTTCCTAAGTGTTTACAGTTTTAGGCCCTTAGGTTGGAAAGAATGATGTTTCAAAAGAGAAGGGGTACAGATTTTACTTTGCACTAAGAAAGGACAAGGAAGGACAGAAAATGAATGTTTCAAGAATGTACTTAGAATTGTTTTTAATTGCTGCAGTTCTATTTCAGAACTTTAAATTGATGGTTCAGTATTGATGTACAGGCAGTCCCCGAGTTACGCGGATCCGACTTATGTCGGATCCGCAGTTACGAACGGGGTTTGCTGCCCGTCTCCCTTGTCTGCTGAGACGGGGAGCAAAGCCTCTGAGGACGCCGGCAGCGGGACAGCCGCGGCGCGTCTGGGCTGTCCGCTGCCCGCGTGCTCCGCGGCTTTGCTCCCTGTCTCCCTGATCTGCTGGTCTCCAGCAGATCAGGGAGATGGGGAGCAA